GGTCCCTTCCGACCCTGGAAACTATGAAACTATGAAACTTTCTACTTACTATAGTGCTCTCTATTAGAGGATATCAAAGCAGGAAGACATTCCTGAATTAAACCTTGCTCTCACCATTGTGATACATTGTGATCATTCCCGTTTTACATGGGAAATTAAGATAGAGATTAAGGTCTGACTCAGCAAAATTTAAGTGTCTAAATCCAAAAAGAATCTTAAAACAAGTGTTTGAATGTTTACACCTAAATCCTACCTAAGTTATAGATAATTGTTGTTCTGCTGCCTAGAAGCATAACACACTCAACTTGCCTCTTTGACCTGAAAGTTCCCTAGGCACCTGCAGTTGAAGTTCTGTGAAGGCCCCAACTGCCTCAGTCTGAGCATCTAGGTACTTAGCTTCTGCCTATGCCCAACTAGCATCCAGAAAGTAGATGAAGCAGTATCTAAGACCCTAAAGGGTCTAAGCCAGTAGATATGCTCTGAGCATGGCTAACACACACTGACAGCATCAGGCAGCTCACATAACTGCAGTCCTAATTATTTTTTAAAATGTGGAGGTGGTGGTATCCACTAGCACCTTTTATGTAATCATAATTTAACAATTAGCACTTACTCTGCAAATAGGAAAACCAGTTTAATTCTATCTAAGATTAACAGGTTTAAAGTCTCTCCCAGTTCCCAGAAGGATTCCTTCAGGGGCAGATCTGGGAGGTGGGAAGCGGGGAGGAGTGCATTCATGCAGTTGCACCCCTCCAAACTGCACACTGCCTGGCAGCAGCAGCAGCAGCATTTCTATTCAGGCAGCAGTAGGAGAACCATGGCTATAATCCACCTGATTCCTCATAATCTCTCTTTACTTTACAGTTGTTAATTACCCTCTCTCTCATTTTTAATGGCCTTGATGTTCTACTAATCAAACTATTCTTTCTTCTGCAATTTTGTTACTTGTTAGCCATTGATAGTATCTCTTCCATTCCACAGCCCTGAAGACTGTTTTTAGCTTTAGTAAAAATCTTAACTTAGGTGTAGTAATATTACACTTTCAGTCATTTCTATATCTGAGTTAATATTACAGACATTGTCAAAACACTGAAGAAGACTAGATTTTGTTGTACAAATCTGACTGAAATGTACTTTTAACAAATGCCCATGGGTGTCTTAAACCAGGGGTTTTCAACCTTTTATAATAAATGTACCCCTGGTAGCCCCCTTTTTAGTAAGTGTATCCCCCAGGGGGGGTGGCAAGCAACTGGACATGGAGCTGGAGCAGGGGGTGAGTGGCCAGCTGTGGAGCGGGGCCATGGCAAGCGGCGGAGCTGTGACAGCACAGTATCTGTGTGCCCCTGCTCTTACCCTGCCCTGGCTCTGCTCCTGTGAGGTGGTGGCACAGGGTGGCAGTACTCTGTCCCTGCTTGCCCCATGTACTTCCTGGGACCTTTCTAGGTACCCCCAGGGGTACGCGTACCTCCAGTTGACAACCTCTGCCTTAAACAATAACTCAAAGTTAGGCTGGCTGGGATGGTTTCTACTGTCGAAGATATGCCTATACAGCAAAGAATGCCAGATTCATGGGTCAGAAAGAGAAAACAAAATGGGGAGCCTGACACTGTTTCCTAGAGGTTTAAGTAGTTGGCTGGGAGAGAAAAGGTCCTAGGTTCCAATCCTTGTTCTCAAATAGCTAATGACTGTTTGAAATAAAATGCATAAACAGTGATGGGAGCTGGGAACAAGGACCAAACCCCAGGACTTTACATCACCTGAAGATGTAGTTCATTATTTGTAAGATTGCCCTACAATTCTGAAGGAGGTTAATTGTGCACTGTAAAAAATGATCAAATTCTATTAGGTCAGGGTTGGCCAACCTGGACCACAGAGGTCATAAGTGGCATGGGCAACCTCTGTATGTGGCATGGGGCAGGTCAGGGAAGGGACAGGCAGCACAACAGCAAATAGGGAGGGAGCAGAAAGTAAAACAGAAGATCAAGCTGATGAAAGGGATTAGAATGGCGCTCAGGGAAGGTATGGGGCTAATATGTGGCACGCCTGCCAGATAAGTTGGCATCCACTGTACTAGGTAATAAATGTAAATCCACTTCTGCTTAATTTATTTGTATCCTTTTCAACAGAACACAGATCAATAATCCAGTGTCTTTACTGCTTGATGTAACTAAATACCAATTTATTCAAATCCAATAAAGGGAGACTAAATCTAGTAATTCTTAGCAACAAAATGTTAAAAGTAATGTGACCATCAAAAGTCATAATTCTGATGCCTTAATCTCTCTGTTTAGATCATTTGTGGAACAACTTATATTTTTAAATATTCAGCATCTGTCCAACTGTTTAAGCAAAGTATGCCTATTTTGATTAAAAAAGGACAGAACGAAATCT